TTCTGACACCAGTGCCAGCAGCCTGGGGGCACAGCCAGGGTCCTTGGGCACTGGGGCCACCACTGCAGGGGCACAGCCAGGGTCTCCTGGTACTGGGACCACCGTCACGGGAGCACAGCCAGGGTCCCCTGGCACTGGGGCCACCGTCACAGGGACACAGCCTGCACCTCCAGGGGTCCAAGCAGGAGGTGCAAGGGTTCAGCCAAGACCCCTTGGCAGCAGACCCAGCCTTTCTGATACTCAGATGGCCCCCCCTGAAGCCAGACTCAGTGCTCCAGGGGCACGGACCGATGCTCCAAGCCTTGAGGGTGGCCGTGAGGCTTTGTCCAGCAGACAGGGTGCCCCAGCAGGCTCCCCTGCAGTCCAGCGTGGCCCCTTGACAGCAGACTCCACTGCAACAGCCCACCAGCCTGAGATCCCCTCTGGCACAGACACCAGGCCCACATCCTCTTTGCAAGAGAGGACCACACCAGCCATGCCCTGGGAGTCTTCGGGCTCACCTAGCGCCTCCAGCCACCATGCAGAGCTGGGTGAGGCTCTCCATCAGGTCGGGCAGCTCAGCAGCCTGTACGCAGCCTTGAAGGAGCAGGTGGCCCAGCTGGAGCTGACCAAGTGTGACCGAGCCGAGCTCGAGAAGCTGCGTCCGCTCTTTCTGGAAGCAGGTAGGGAGCCCTTCTGGGGCCAGGCAGTGAGGGGCACCCAGGGCAGGTCGGATGTGACAGGGGGCCTGTGCCCTGGTGCTGGGGCATCCCATTCGGCTGTGATCCTGAGGAGGAGCAGGGCTCTTCGCAGCCGCAGAGGCTCAGGGCAGCACTCTGCCAGCAGTGGGTGGCGGGTGCCCATCTCCCGGGCTCTGCCCAGGGCGCTGGTCCCACCGCTGGGCCTTTGCTCTCATTGGGATTGCTCCAGCACGTGGCACCTCCAACTCCTCCCCTCAAAGCAATCCCCCAGCTTTGCAAACGTCTGGACTTGCTGGGATGGATGGGACAAAGTGAGGAGCTGGCAGGGGAATGTCTCCCCCGGCGGCTTGGGAAAGCCTGAGCGTGTCGTGCAGTCAGGGGTTAGTCGCACCCAGAGGCTGAGTCCAAGTGAAACCCACTCGCCAGTGGTGCCTTCCCTTGGGCTACTTCTTTTTAGACCAGAAGAGCAGCCCCAGCATCCTAGGTGACCTCCTGGACCAGGTGGCCTCCCTGCAGACCGTGGCCAATGACCTGCAAGGGGAAAAGGCGAAGGTGAGGGGACAGGGATGCCACTGCCAACCCCGTCTGCTCGGCTGCAAGCGCTCCCCCGAGCAGGGACACCAAGCATGGGTGAAAGGCCTGGCTGTGGTGGGGGAGCTGGGCAGAGAGTGGAGGTTTCCGTGGGGTGGAAACCGCTCCAGGTGGTTTCTGTGGGGCTGGCAGTGGTCCTTTTGCCCCATGGCCCTTAGAACTGGGCACAGAAGGGACCCCAGTCTGGCAGAGCCACACACAGGAGAAGGTGGCAGTCAGGCCCAAAGAGGGCCAAGCAGATGTCCCAGTCCTTTGCGCGCGGGCGGGTTTTGGGCCTGGGGGGGGGGGGGGGGTTGGGCAGGGAGGAGATGGCCATGCCACCATCATGGGGAACAGCACAGGGCCGGTACCCTGGCTCTGCACCCTGACATCGTTCCCAGATCAAACAGCTGCAGAACGTCATCGAAAGGATGGCGGTGGCAGGAGCTGACCAGAAAGTGGAAAGCACCAACCAGATAAACCTGCAGTTAGGTAATCTCAGGTAAAAGAAAGCCAGAAGGTTTCCTATACCCTGCTCTGGGGACTTGCCCTCAGGGCTGGGGGGGAGCCCTGGGCACAAGGGGGTGCGAGTGAGCTGGTCCCCCAGGCGGCTGCTGGCTGGGTGCTGGCTGCCTCTGGGTGCTCAGGGGTGCCAGAGGCACAGGTTGTGGCCGGGCTGGTGGGGCTGAGTTGCGCTGGGCTCAGGGTGGGTATCGGTGCACCCCTCTCTGACGTGACCCTGCCCATCACTCCCCTGTGTCGCTGGGCAGGTCCATGGTGCAGGAGATAGAGAAGGAGCTGAAGGAGCTGAGAGAGAAGCAGGACGGGGCCAAAGCCAAACTGGAGCAGTCGGTGACCGATGCGGCTGACCACTTGCAGGAGCAGGTTGGGGGACCAGAGGGATGCAGGGGGCTACATTCCCATCAGGGTTGTCTCAGTGTCCTCCCACATCCTGGCTTTGACCTGCTGGGCTGCTCCATCTCCGGGCTCGTTGGCCTCCGCTGTCCCATCTCAAACCCAATTCCCTCTGCCTTTGCTCCAGCTGGACAAGCTGAGGTCTGTCATGGAGAACATGATGGCTTCATCTTCAGCCTTGCTGTCAATGAGCATGCCAGCGAGCCCGGAGCTGAGGCAAGCAGAGGCGCAGGCCACGTGTCCGGCCTGCAGCCTGGACGTCAGCGAGCAGGTCAAGCAGCTCTTCCAGCGCTACGAGCAGCTCCAGCACTTGGTTAACTCCTTTGTGGCGCGGCAGGCAGAGATCAAGGCGGTGAGGCAGCTGCCAGCGAGGAGCCAGGTAGGGAGACGCCAGCATGGAGTAGTGGAGGGCTTGGAAGGGGCTGCCGGTCAGTGCTGAGCTCTTTTTGCTTTACCACAGGGGAGCCCCACACTGCTCCCCAAACCGCTTCACATCTGGGTGTTTGTCAAAGCCAACAGCATCGAAGGAACAAAAGCCTTAGGGCAAATGTTGTCCTGGTATCACCAATAGCTCATGGTCATGGGCTGAGAAATGTGGGTCTGGTCCTCCCTCTGCCCGCAGCAGGGTTGTCTCTAACCCAGCGGGCTGCTTGGCTAGAGTTGAAGATGGCTTCTCGGGGCAGGAGGAGAGCAAGACACAGAGTTTCGATGGCACTGAAAGGGGCTCTAGTTAGGGGTGGTTATACCCATCTGAGGTGTAAGGATGTCGCCCTGTGTGGTGGTAGATCCGAGCAGCTCGTGACAACTCTCCATGCAGATGTTTAGAGGGACAGTATCAGTATCCATCCTTTGGCGCAAAGGATGAGCAGGCTCTGGCCTGCTCTGACAGGTCCTAAAGAACAGCCCATGATCGAGGTGAGGAAAACTGCTCCTCAGGGAGTGTCAGGCTGCTGTGGTGCCACCCAGTGCGCTGCGAGGACACGCCAGTGCTGTGCTGGGCATCCCAGTCTCAGGCTAGTTTGGATGCTGCCTGCGCCAGGCTGGATGCCGGCGTCCTTTTCCTCCACAGTAGCTTACAGATTTCAGTGCCTTGGATCCCCACTTTGTGACCCAGAGACAAAAGTCCTCACTTGAGCTGGTTTCTCAGGAGACATTTTCCAGAGTTGTTTGTGCTTGAGTGGCAGGGGACGCTGCAGGGGATGGGGGAACAACGCTTCCATTCAGGCTGCCGTGGTCTTTGCCATGGAGGTGGCACTGGCAGCTCACTCTGTGCCTCAGCGTGATCTGTGTCCCCCACTCCAGGCAGGCAGGGTAGCACCTGACCCAGCGGTACTCAGGTTGGAGACCGTGGGGCAGCTGGTGCCTGTACTAGGTATTGGGTGATCTGCAGGGATCTGACCTTCTTCCCCGCGCTGTGCTGCCTGGCACAATGGGCAGTGAGCGACCTGTTGCACAACGTTATGTTGTTGTCTTCCTCCACAAAACAGGACGAGGAACTTCTGAAGCACATCCAGGCCACCATCCTGCAGGTGCAAGAAGACTGCGAGAAGCTCAACTCCGTCACGGGCGATCTTGTGGATGACCATCGCCAGAAGCAGAAGGATATTGAGGTGGGTGGTTTCAGCCCCCTCCAGACAGAAGCGTCTTTCAGGCAGACCCTAGGCCCTCTAATGCTATGGCTGAGCTTTATCTTTGGGTGTCTTGTGTGTTTAAAGGCTCTGTTCCAATCCCTGGAGAAGTTGGAAAAGGAGAAAGCAGACAAGGAGGATCTGGTGACAGAAATCAACGTGGTAAGATGTCAAAGCAACCCAGCATCAGCCAAGGTGGTCATAGGCACCATGACAAATGCACGTTACCCTTTGGGTGCTTGATGACAGAAGCAGTGTGGCAGGTACGTGGGGAGGAGGCAGAGGAGAGAGGATTTCCGGACCTGCTGCAGGTTCCTGGCTAAGTCGCTCCACCTCCCCGCGCATCCCTTGGGCAGGCAGCGGTGGCACTAAGCCTGCAGAGGGCGAGCGGTGAGACGGGCTGTGTGCCCGTAGCGCGTTCAGACTCACTCATCCGCAGCACTTCGCAGTGCCCTAGGGCAGGGCCAGCCCTGCCAGGAAAAGGCCGAGGAGAGAAAGGCCAGGACACGGCATTCTCTGCCAGACGCTGCAATTCTGCCTTTCCCTTTTTACCTCAGTCCATCACTCTCCTTTCTTTCCTCTTTGCTAGAAAGCAGATAAAGCTGCCCTGGCTGGCAAAGTCAGTCGCATCCAGTTCGATGCAACCATGGAGCACCTGAATAAAATGATTCAGGACATGCTGGACAGGATCACGGGTCAGGAGCAGGACTGGCACCAAATCCAACAAAAGCTCATTGAAGAGATGGACTCCAAGGTAAAGTATATCTTAGCAGCAGCCTCCTGCCAGCTCTCGTGGAGGAAAAACCTCTGCCAGGTTTGTACCGGGGCTGGATGCTGCTTCTGCCAGAAGTGCTGATGCTTCAAGCATGACATGCATGATGTTTTCCTGCCCCTCCTAGGCAGAGGGACTGCCTTTCCTCCTCCTCTCCCGCATCCCTTTGCTTTCGGATTTGCACTGTGCTGATCCGGAAGGCTTTTTCCTGATACATGCCCTCCCTTCCTGACAGCTTTTTGGAGTTGTCTGCTCTGCCCCAAAAAGCTGTTAACCTCGTCAGTGAGGGAGGGGGTAGGAGAAGGGCTTCCCATGGTGGGAAGAGCACCAGCAGGCTACGCTGCTCGCTTGGTTGTGTTTTGTCCCCTGCAGACCCCACTGCAAATTGCCCAGGGGACATCCTGGTGTGCCACTCACACAGGTCCCTGCTTCCACCACATTGGTTGCACCCAACTGTGTTGGTAGGGTCAACACCAAGCAAGCCCGGGGGGATATCTCAGTTCATCAGCTAATCCCAGCCGCATGAAATGAGGTCCTCCAGGGTCTTGCAGCCTCTGCCACCAGAACAGAGTACCCACCAGGGGACTGCGGCAAGCACACGGTTGTGGCTCCCTTCCTGGTCCCTCCAAAGCCTCGGGGGCCGCGGTGGTGTAGCCAGCGACATGGGTCACTGAGGGCCTGTCCTGTCCGCAGCTGGACCGCCTGGAGCTGACGCCGTTCCGCCAGCGGCTGGGGGGGCGCTGGAAAAGCCTCCTGAAGCAGCTCCAGGAGAAGGCACCGCGGATGGAGGCTGATGACGCGGCTGGAATTAGGAAGTACGTTCACTGGGAGCAGGGCTGGGGGATGCTTGCAGCAGTGAGGGCAAGGGGAGCCCCGTTCCCTCCAGCGCTCACCGTCAGCTCCTGCAGTGGCCACGCCGCGGTCGGAGGCAGAGCTGCCCCTAGACCCAGCTCGGCGTGGGCAGGGGCTGAGCTGCCGGGGCAGGATCCTGGGCAGGCTGAAACCCTGCGGGCTCACTGCTCCTCAGCCTTGAACTCGCTAGATTAAAGCAAGCTCACTTACGCCTACGTGCGTTTCGTCCCTGCCTTGGACCGTGTCCCCAGGGGTTCGTTCCACCCTGAAGCTGAACCAATTTAACGAGTGTAACTTTGTCATGCAATAATGATGCTGATGTAATGGCTGGGCCTTCACCGCTCCAGCTCATCTTCTCAAACCAGTAGTGAGCAACAGGTTCCTAGCTGTTTTAGGATAATGCTCACGCCCTCGGTTTTAAGGGAAAAGCCTGCAGCTATTACAGTGTTGCAGCAGAGGCATTACTACCTCCTGCGGAGGTGGTGTGCATTGGTGTGGCTGCTGTTGAAGCAAGGACGTTAAAAAGGGGACTATTTTGCTGCCCGGCACCAGGCACGTTGAGGCGAGGAGTACCTCCGGCACCCTGCAAGGCAGTCCTCTCCCAAAATTGTGGTATTGATGCAACGGCTTTCTTAGGCAAGGGTTGTGGGGGGAAGCGGCTCGTTCCCCCCGGCGGGGATGCAATACGCGGAGGTACAGAGCTCGGTTTTGACGTGCCCTCCTGGAAATGTGCAGGGGTGTAATTAATGCCGCTGGGGTGTAGGAATCAGTGTGAGGCCCGGTGCGGAGAGCAGGTGTGAACGCGTGTGTGTTGCGCGCCGTGCCTCTGCCGGGGGCTCCCCGCCGCGGCCGCGCTCCCAGCACGGGCATGCAGAGGCGGCCGCGGGTCGCCGCGCTGCTGGAGG